CACACACACATACAAGCACAAATGCCTAAATCGTACAAGAGCCTAGCCTATGGGTCTATTTCATTATCATGTTTAAATAGAAACTATTCTGAATCTGATGTACGGATTTCTTTCTTGTACGGATATGTGTCTTTGGGCCAAGTTTCTTCAATATATTTGAACACATTAATTACAAACGATGAATAACCTAAACTTAAATAACTTAATAACAAAAACAAAACAAAGAAACAAGATAAATTCAACAAAATAGGAACGCGAGCGCAAACGACGAGAGAGCTGTCAATGGCGCCTGATTAACCGACTAAACGTAATACACGCTACTTTCATTGTCGCGCTACATCTTAATTGTACTCTTTAATTTGACAACATTATCTAATGCTTCGTTCATAAAGAAAGGTTTTGGATACCTGGGATTTTAGGCTCTTTATGGTGTCTATTGTAATGAAATATTATATTATTTAATAAATGTTATTAAATTATTATGCTCAAGCAGATATATATAATATTTACTAAGAAATAAGTGAAAAGGAACAGAAACATAACATTTAATAGAGAAAACTGTCGTAAAAATGGAAACAATTTTATTTTCTTATGAAGTATTTTGAGTCATGGAAATGTCAACTATAAAGAACTCTTTTTATGGTTTGTTTACAAATAGTTAACTACCTAAACAGACGGAGTATAAGTATTGTTTTCTTATACGGCAAAATAAAAAATACGTGTCTAATATTTTTTCATTACTTAACTTACGGACTAATTATATTTCTAATTTTCATACCCTGTCATCATCCCTATTCAGGGGACTTAGTACGATTAAAGTATTCGTAACGAGTCCGCGTTCGGCGCTGTAATTGATTGCTTCATTGGCGCCGGCCAATCAGAGTGCCGAACGCGTACTCTACTAAGCTAAACTCGTACTAAGGCCTCTGATTGGCCGGCTCCAATGAACCAACCAATCAATCAGAGCGCGAGTAACTAGTACATATAACTTACTTCTTCACAAGTCATAATGTGAAATCCCTCATCATCGTTCTTATATTTTCTTCGCTGATTAGAATCAGCGGAGCGATTGCTGAAACATAATATAGAAACATAAATATAATGTAAACTTTGTATAGAAATTTGTAAAATATGTATGGAAATGTAAAAATTGTATAAAAAATGTAGAGGTATACTCACTGGTAACCATCACTCTTTAAATGTTTAGAGGACAGTTGCAGATGTTTGTCGTACGCTTCCTGATTTAAGAATTTAACATCACAGACTTTGCAGTGCGGACCTTCAAATGGCTGCTGAAATATATATTATAAAAAATAAACACATTGACTTTTGTAAAGAGACAATTTTATGAATATTATGATTATACACCGTAAAATCTATTTCGTTCGTCTCGAAGTAAAATGGTTCTGTCTCGGTAATACCATAGTTTTACAAAGAAATAAAATGTTTAAAACAAAACTGGTGAACCATTTCTAAAGGCAAACTTCAAGGCAAGCGCATATGAACTCATAATAGGTACATTATCAAAACATCACGCCATGTAATTCTCGAAGAGGTATTTCTAGTCGGCACGTGTTTCATGTGCGTATTTTTCCTCGTTGATGGATGACTATTGACAAATTATTACAGTTTAAAAAAAATCTCAGTTGTAGCACAAGAGTCTGGAATTGTGCCGGGTACATGGCAATAGTGTTGCCTTGTTGGCCGAGTGGTCGCAAGAGCGACTGCCGAGCAAGGGGTCTCGGGTTCGATTCCCGGGTCGGACAAAGTATTACTGGGTTTCAAAAAAACTCAGTAGTAGCACGGAGTCTGGAATTGTGCCCGGTATATGGCAATAGGCTCACCCCCTATTACATGGGACTCGTAACATAAATAGTGAAAAGTGGGTGTTACATTGTACCGTGGCATAATGTGCACCTCTGCCTACCCCTTCGGGGATAAAAGGCGTGATGTTATGTTACATGGCAATAGCTCACCCCCAATTACATGGGACTCATAACATAAAATACTGAAAAGTGGGTGTTACATTGTAGTGGCATTAAGTGCCGTAATGTGCATCTCTAGCTACCCCTGCGAGGATAAAAGGCGTGGATTTGCATAGCTTGATGTGTTCGTGTACACTTTCTATACACAAGAAGCTGCAACAGTTTGATACTTACATTTTTGTCGTCGAATTTATGTTTCAACCGCTTGTGAGCGCGCACTCCGTTGTCCCCGACGAAGGTATACCCGCACAGCTCACAAACACAGTCAGACATGTGTTTGAGGCGCACGTGACTCAACATTGTCGGTTCATTCCTAAAAAAGGAAAATAATTGCACAACACAACATTTATATCTATAGAGGTACATATAAAAGAAAGTCGTGTTAGTTACACTATTATAAATAGTGAAGAAAAAACCGCTCAAGAACGGCTATATCGATTTGGATGAAAATTGGTGAGGATGTAGCTTAGAACCAGGAGACGGACATAGGATACTTTTTACCCAATACTTATTTTTTACTTTTAACCGAAAATCAAGAACGGGTACGGGAAATATCGGGATTGCGCGTACGAAGTCGCGGGCAGAAGCTAGTTTATAATAACTATCGTCAGACATACTAAATTAACTAAAAATCGCGAGTTACTCACGTGAATATTATACTGAGAAAAGCTCTGCGATGTCGCGCAGCCTACCAAACACGCTGCTCATGAGGAAGAACACCTCTGTGGTTCGAAACTAGTAGTTTTTCTCAGTATATTCACGTGATTAACCCGCGATTTTTAGTTTCCTTTCAATGAGTAAAAGCCATACTTCGGCACAGTCTATCTATAAATATGTTGCTAAGCACAAATCTCGAAAACATCTGTTAGTTCGAGATTTAACTCGTCGTGTACCGTCATTATAGACACAATTAAAGAACTTTAGGTTGCGGTCACCGGTGTCCTCACGGTGTTTGACAGTTTATCTCGTTGAGTACCGTCATTATAAACACAATTAAAGAACAATAGGTTGCGGTCACCGGTGTCCTCGCGGTGTTTGACAGTTTAACTCGTTGAGTACCGTCATTATAGACACAATTAACTCGTCGAGTACCGTCATTATAGACACAATTATAGAACAATAGGTTGCGGTCACCGGTGTCCTCACGGTGTTTGACAGTTTATCTCGTTGAGTACCGTCATTATAAACACAATTAAAGAACAATAGGTTGCGGTCACCGGTGTCCTCGCGGTGTTTGACAGTTTAACTCGTTGAGTACCGTCATTATAGACACAATTAACTCGTCGAGTACCGTCATTATAGACACAATTATAGAACAATAGGTTGCGGTCACCGGTGTCCTCACGGTGTTTGACAGTTTATCTCGTTGAGTACCGTCATTATAAACACAATTAAAGAACAATAGGTTGCGGTCACCGGTGTCCTCGCGGTGTTTGACAGTTTAACTCGTTGAGTACCGTCATTATAGACACAATTAACTCGTCTAAGCGCAGTCTAAGCGCTTTACACGCGCTTAGACACTTCTAATTTAATATAATTTGGTTGTTTAATCTAGAGGTACATGTAGACAAGCGCTAAATGGCATTTGGCTATAGCTGCTGGTCGAAGGATCCTCCTTTTCCGATCTTAGGGAACTAAACTCTCTGTTTTCTAAAACACCTTGTATATTATGTAGGTACTTACTCGAAATGCATCCCGCAGTGAGAGCAAATGTACTTCTGGACCTCGTGGAACTTAGTATGCGTGAGAGCTACATGCCTGAAACAAAAATAATATATTATGTATATGTATATGTCGGAGGAAGCTGGAAGTTGATTGTTAGTTGCATTGCATAACGCACATTAATTTTCGTTTGTTTTATATTCACCTTTTAAAATGCCTAAATTAATTTGAATTGATTTGCTTTTTTTATGGCATAAGCCGGTAAACGAGCAGACGGATCACCTGATGGTAAGCAATCGGCGTCACCTATGGACACCTGGAACACCAGAGGCGTTGCAAGTGCGTTACCGGCCTTTTGGGATTAGGAGTTTGAGGATTGTTGTAGGTTAAGGGACTGGGAAAGGGGGGGGGGGGTAATTGGACCTTCGGTAACTCCACTCATACGACGAAACACAACGCAAGCGTTGCTTCACGTCGGTCTTCTGCTCGGCCGTGGTATCACTCCGGTCGAGCAGGCCCATTCGTGCCGAAGCATGGCTCTCCCACACTTTCAATCTTTATTATTTAAGTTTAAGTATGTATGACTGATTTTAATGTAATTATGATATTTGACTACCTTTTGTATGACTGCGATAATATGATATTAATGATGTATGGTATAGATATTCATTTTATAGATTTCTTAGATGTCCGAAATAAATTATTTTTATTGTTTATAGCTTTTACCCGCGGCTTCGCCTGCGTCACAAAAGGATAAAAGCCAATGTGACATTTACCAATACACACAGCGCCATCTATACCAATACTTTTGTTTTCCCGCGGGATTATAACATTTTTCCGGGATGAAAAGTACCCTATTATTTAATCCAGACTTCTAACTATACATCTGCAAAAATTCAAAGCAATCGGTTTAGTAGTTACGGCGTGAAAGCGGAACAAACAAACAAACAAACAGACTCACTTTCCGATTGATAATATTAGTAAGGATTTTATCTAAGTAAGTCTATTTTTTTAAATTAACTTTGTATACTTACCTACTTCTTGTTACCAGTGGACAGAGCTTACATTTGAACTCAGAAATATGTAGTCTCTGCATATGTGCCCGCATCTGCCAACTCCACTTCATACGGACCTTACATATAGCGCATTTTAATTTACCCGCTTTCTGAAACAACATAATTGGGATTTATTTTAATACTAAGTACCTACTACTCGCCACAGATGGGCCTAACAGTAACAGGGCTGATGCCGATACAGAGCCGCGGAAGACTTAACAGGTTGCCGGGGCTCCGCTCCGGCTCGAAGTGCAAGAGTAGGAACGGGGTGGTTTTTAGTCAGTAAGAGTTTGACACTCCTTCTCCCGCCATGATTTTCCCCCCTCAAAAAAAAAGTACCTACTACTCAAAATCCAAAGAATTTATTTCAATTAAACCATATACTATTTGGTACTCTTGTAACGTCAAAAAATACAAAATAAATAATAGTCTGTCAGTCCGTCCGCCAGTGAAGCTATGCGCTCATTCCATAATGTAGATTCGAGTGGAGAAGAATACCTACTACTCAAAATCAAAAGAATTTATTTCAATTAAACCATATATTTGAAACGTCAACAGATAAAATAAATAATAGGCTGTCAGTCTGTACGTCAGTGAAGCTAGGCGCTTGTTCCAAAATGTAGATTCGAGTGAAGAAGAACGAGTAAGAAACTCCATTCGTTACTCTTTTAAAAAAGTCTATTTTACTGTCTCTTTTCGAAAGTTCCCCTCGGTTTCCCTAGGATCCCATCATCAGATCCTGACCTCATGGAAATGGGACCATCTCGGGAGTATACCCTTTCAAACAAAACAAGAATTTTGGAAATCGGTTCACAAATGTCTGAGTAATGTTTAGTACCTCCTCTTTTTTATGAAGTCGGTAAAAAGTGGGTGTTACATTGTACAGTGGCATAATGTGCACCTCTGCCTACCCCTTCGGAGATAAAAGGCGTGATGTTATGTTATGTTAGGGTGTTACATTGTACAGTGGCATAATGTGCACCTCTGCCTACCCCTTCGGGGATGTCGCGGAGAACCTAACGGGTAACCGGGGCTCCGGCTCGACGTGCAGGAGAAGGAACGGGGTGGTTTTTAGTCAGTAAGAGTCTGACACTCCCTCCCGCCTCACCCAGGCGGGAGCAGTCATTCGATGATTTTCCCCCCTTAAAAAAAAAACCC